GCGTTTATCTTACTTATGTAGAGTATTTGCACGCTGCTTCGTTGCTAGGCTGATGAACAATAAAAAGGAAAGAAGAACAGACAAAAGAATTCAAGCAACGTCGTCAACCATTCAGTCGCGTCCAACCCTTGGCCGCCCCTTGGATCATCGCTCTCCAAGCCCCTCTGTCTCGCCCTGCGTCCTTCAAGACCGCCATGTCCACCCCAGTGCCTTTCTTCGCGGTGTCCAGCCAACGGGTGCTGGGGCGGACCCTTCTCCTTTTTCCACGGGTCACTCCCAGCACGGCTGACCTTTCCAGCCAGCCAGCTCTCCTGACATGGCCACAGTATGACGGTCTTTGTTCGGTGATCCTGGCTTTGAGTGACACAATGCATTTTTGGTGAGGCTCCGTCTAGAACCTCCTTGCCTGTGATTTTTGCAGCCCATGCAATGCGCAACCGTCTCCAGCACCACAGTTTGAAAGCATCCAGCCTTCCTCTATCTCGCTTTTTCAGAGTCCAAATTTCACAGACGCATGGCAGTTGGAAAAATTATTGCATTGACTAATCCGCATTTGGTAGAGAGGCTGATATCTTTACTCTTCTAGATGTTGTTCAGGCTGGGCGCCTTCTGATCTCAGGACTGTCGTCACCACATTGGTCAATTTTACACCCCAGGAAGTTGAATTCCTTTACTGTTTCAATGTTCTGTTTGTTGAGCTGTACTCTGACTTGTGTGTTCTCTGCAGGCAACATTACGACTGTGGCTGGTCAGCAAGGAGAGTTCCCAGGCAAAGCCATCTGCAGCTGGTGCAGGAAGCAGCAATGCTTTTGCACCTGTCTGCCTTCCACCGGCTGAGAGCTTCAAAGAAGTAGGGTCACCACCAAAAAGACACTTATCCCTTTTTTGTAATTTTTATTTTCTTAACATAAACAAATACACAGAAGAAAATGTAGAATAGAAAAAAAACTAACATAAGCAGAACTGACTAAATTGAACAAAATAAGCAAAGTTGCCAAGGGAATTATACGCAAATATAACCGATGTATTGCAGCCTCCCAAACTGACTCCCTCCATATCTTCCCATGCTCCTCGAGAGTTTGCAAAAAAACAAAAAACCCAAGTAAGTATTTTTTAAATCTTGCCGTATATTTATCAGTGTACTTCTGAACACACGTTTAATATTCTGTTCTGCAGATAATGGCAGCCTACGTTTCTTTATGTGCACGCAGTGGTTCCACTCATACCAGAATTGTCTAATCTGGAAATGTGTCTGAGAGCCCCCTATAAAGTTTTTGTAACATGGCTCTGTGTTAATATAGGGTTTTAAAGCTAGTGTCCTTTTCTGTAGGCAACTGTATTAGTGGCTGATTATCGATGAAGTTTATCACAATTTTTCTGCTGCATACGACCTTTTATGTAGATGAGGAAACATTAGAAGGCAGTGAAACATAGTTCTCAAATGTTTCGTTGAATATACTGTCTAGCCATATTCTCTCCTTGAGGACAATTTCTTGCTCAAACTCTTGCCTGTTCTCTTCTTCTCAACCTCTATATACCACTGCACTCAAATATCCAGAGTAAAAGGATTGGTGGCAAATTTACACTATGCATTGGAAATAACACTTCATAAGCAGGTTTGTTTCCCACCTTCCATGTCATACACCTATCCAAAGTGTCCCCAGAGCCTCAGAAAAGGCATTCTATGGGGCCCAGGAAGCTTCAGCAGGAAGGAAGGAGTAGGAAAACCTGTGTGAGCAGACCAAAACTTTAGTAATACTAGATCAAAGATACAACTTTTAGCCTAGATTTGGGACCAAGTTGCTTGGGTACCATTTTTAAACTAACCCTCTGGATGAAAAATAAAGTTACATCAAAGTAGAATACAACGCTGTGTGAACAGCAGCAGGATCAAAGTTGTATCAAAGTAGTGAGTTCTAGTATAAGCCAGGAAAAGTTCCTTTAGAATTTTGGAATCAGTCATTGAATCAACCAAAGGAAGCAGTCAAGAAAGCTAATGTAATTTTGGACTAATTGAATAAAAAGATAGCATAGTTAGTTCTTTCAGAAAACTTAAGCTATGTGCTTCCTCATTTTCAAAACTTACCAAATCTGGTTATCAGTACACTAAAACAATTAAAACATAATCTTAGGCCTTGCCATTTTAAAAACTTATACAGAAGTGAGGTTAAACTATAAAGTTCGCCGAGCTGCATTCAGTATTGATGCTTGGCAGTTTGACAGCTATATGCAGCTGCAGCTTTAAAGTATTAAATACAGTTCTAGTTCAGATAGTATGAAATGAAATGGAATTCTGAACATGTCTTGCTCATATATAAAGTTAATGAAGGCTGAGCTGGAGACTCCTAGCAAAGTATCAGTTTTTTTGTTTTCCAGCCAAAGCTGAACATAAAAAAAGGAATTTTTGAAAACATTTAATTTCATGTTAGAAATATTTGGTTAGATTCACAGGTGCCCTTCTCTATGTGGAAGGACTTCTCACAGAAGGACTATTAAATCTAAACGTGATATTCTACATTTTCATGCATGGTAACTGGAGACTCATGTATTATAGAACTCTACAAACCCTTATGCAGCACTTACATAGCTGTGGGAAAGGATTTGTGACAATTTTTCCTTGGTTCATGATTCACTGGAGCCAACCCATAGTTCGAGTTGCACAGTGTAGTGTTTGACGTGTGCAATCTGGCAAGCATATTAAGTTAACTCATGCATGAAGTTGTATAATCCAGTCACCAACTGCTCTTTCCATTTTGAAATGCCATTTTTTTTTCTCTAGCAGGTCAGTGTTTTGCACAAAACACAAAATCAAAAGCAGCCTAACAGAGAAGATTGCAAATTAAATTGTCTCAAGTATATGAAGATTGAAATAAAAGTTTAACGAATGAAGCTGTTAGCCTTTCATGCATGATTAGAGAAACTTAAGTGGTACTAGTTTTCAACAATATATTTGCTGTCTAAGTAATCCTGTGCTTGTTCTCTTAGAAGAATGATTGAATTCAATGAGACTTGTTTCCACAACTATGGGAGTACAACCTAAATAATTTTAGTTATAACTGGTTCTCATTAAAGTTACTGCAGTATTTACTTTGCTGTGATACATGATGATGATATGCTAGTTCAGTGTTACAAAGTTTGGCTAAAAATCAATTTTGCTAAAGATCTATTTTATCCTTTTTAGCTGTGACTCAAATACTTTGCTTGTTACCAGTTAGTACTTGTTGACTTAAAATCCAAAGAAGTCTGTTCTTTAGAAGAACAGACTTCTAATATTAGACACCACAGATTCATAATTTCAACACATTTTATAAATTTGCAAAAATTAGAATTAAAGCAGAGCAATTTTAGTTATTAAAAGGCACCAAAGAAGTGGAGACTGGCTTCACACAACAAGGAAAGAAAAAGAATGTATGTGCCCTGCTTTTTCCTGTCCTTCTCGTGTTCGTCATGTGCTTTCTCATTTTCACAATTACCCTCTCTGTGTGAAGATTGCCGTACTTAAAACAGAACCTGGCAAGGTAGGTGGTGGGCATGGATTCCCAACCACCCCACACTGCATGGCTTGTTCTAGGGTTCTGGAGTGGCTTCGAAGTCATTCCACCACCCACCCTTACCAGTTCAGGGTGCATAGCATCCTTTGCTCAGCACAAGTAACTATGAAAATGAGGCACCATTATACCAGCATAGGCAAGAAAAAAAACTGCCATGGTTTCTATCCCTTCCCTGTTCATGTGAATGCAATCAGAATTCTCCAGTGGAGTGCCTTTCCAAAGCTGCAGTAGTACAACTTGGAAGATCCTGTCACTCATGTTCACTTACTTGACCATCTTAAGGCCTATGGAGACACAGAAAATCATATTTTCTGTGATTGAATTTTGGATTGCAACAGAGCTACCAAAACCCTATACCCATTCGTTAATTTCTTCTTCCCTTGTTCTCCTGTTATCTCCTTTTTTATTCTCCTTTCTGCTATGATAAGGTTTGGGGGAAGAAAAAGCTTCCACTGGCACCAATAGGAGCTTTTTTTTTTTTTTAGAAAATTCAATTGGCAGGAAGGATGGTTTTTGTTTTTTTTTTAAGGTTTTAAAGGTTAACTTTCCTTCTGCAGGTGTAACTCCTTCAAATGCCTGCTGTACAGTAAATAAGGTGTAAAAATGATTTGGTTGCTGTCAATTTAACCTTTTACTAAAGTGCTATAAGAAAGGAATGTGAGGAAGATTTGGCAATCTGGAGATCTCCCCCCCACCACCCTATATCAGGCATTTACATGACATGGCTTACATTTGAGAGCATGAAAGACTGGGAGCCACACTTAGCTTGGAAACAAACTGGTACTATTTTTGCTAGAAACTGGAGTGTCTTATTGCTGTATAATATTGAGACTAAATAATGACTGTCCCTTTTTAGTGGACTGCTGTCTAATTATAGGACTGCAGTCTTGTTAAATTTTATATGCTGATACGTGCAATCTATGCATGTGGATACATTTGGAATTTTTAATATGCATTTTTATTGGAAATGAATTTCTTCTACCAGAAAATAACAGCCAAGACTAAAATAAGCAAATATTAGAGGCATAATATTTGAACCCTCCGTGAAAGAAATTAGCAGGGTGGGTACTCAGAGGGCTTTCTCTGTGGTGGCGCCTAAGTTATGGAATGCACTCCCCAGAGAGGTCCGCCTGGCGCCGTCATTATTTGTTTTTCGGCGCCAGGCAAAGACCTTTTTATTTAAGCGGCATTTTAACTGTTAATATTATTGGATTTTATCTGGCCAGGGTGGCTTACTTTATATTGTATTCTTGTATTTTTAATTTAATGATTATATTTTTAATTTAATATTATAATTATTTTAATTTATTGTTGTAAGCCGCCCCGAGGCTTCGGCGAATGGGGCGGCATAAAAATGTTTTAATAAATAAAATTTAAAAAAATAAAATAAAATGATACATCAACAGATTTTTTTTAATCAGTTCAAATTCTTCTGATTTCCTTTTTCCTTGCCAAACTCCTCTGAACTTCCATTAATCATGCTAAGCACAATAAAATCTCCATTTATCATTAAATTCTTCTATTTACATAATTAGTTAGCTTTGCCAGAACAGCCTGTTCTGCTAATCTATTTCTCCGTTCTTCAGCGGTTGGGGAATCCAGTGATTCCCATTTAGAAGCTATTGTGATTCTTGCTGCCGTGGTCATAGGCTTAAATAACTCTGACATGTTTTTTAAAATTGTCTCTGGCACGATATTCAAAAGCATGTTCTTGGGACTCCTAGGAAACCTAATCTTACAGATTTTCTGCATTTCTGCACATATCAATTTCCAAATTTTTGGCGTTATTTCGCAGGTCCATCGCATATGAACGAAGGTTCCATCCACCCTGTTACATTTCCAACATTTTCCATTATAACTCTCGTCTACTTTTCCAATATCTTTTGGAGTAATGCACCTTTGATAATTAAAAAAAAACCCAAAAATGCTTATCTTGATGACTCCAGGATGGGCCAGAGGTTGAAGATCTCAGACTGGTAAAGAAGGGACTCTCTCAGCTATTCTGGTCTCAAGTTGTTCAGGGCTTTGTTGCAAGTACCAGAACCTGAAGCTCAGCCCTGCATGAATGCCTCCCCTGAGGCTCTGTGAACGGCAGCAACAGCCGTAAGGTAAAGAATGCTGGGGGGGGGGTATCCCCCTGCCCCTTTGGCGCCACCAGCATCGCAGGGCAGCCCGGAGTGGATTTATGACGCTGAGATCGGCCTGGAGCTGAGAGAACCTCAGCGTCCCTGCCGTAAGTGTGCCCAGGACTGATGGGTCGCAGAAGGAGGGGTTGGTAGCGGAGGAAAGATGCTTTTCGTGCCGCAACGACCATCCGGTATGACGTGCAAATGGATCCCGTAATGGGTTTTATACAGAGAAGCCAGCAGGTTTATCAGAGTCACCATTTCCAAAATAGGCTGGGTTAGGATGGCTTTAGGCCAACTCCCCAAGCAGCCGGTATTAAGAAGCTTGCTGCCTCCGGCACGGGGGGTAAAACACAACCGCCGTGGAAGCATTTGCCACAAAAGCACCACAGCCTGGCCTTGGAGAATCTGTTTCCTCTCAGACAAAGAAACGGGATTCCCAAAAGTTGTCCGAATGAGTGGAGGCCAAGTGGGGTCAGTCGGCTGGGTCTTTCGCACCAGCCTTGCTCTGATCCTTGAGGAACCTTCTAGATAATTCCCTTGAGAAACTTGAAGAGCAAGTGCCGTGGGAAGGCAAAGTCCAGCTGGACAATGAGGTACCCCTGTGGAGGAAGAAGGGACAGAATAAGGTGGACGGGGTGCTTGTCTTGGCACAGGGAAAGGGCCACGGATGAGAGGCAAAGCTGCGTTTGTCTTGGTGCAGCGTTCGGAATTTAGGGAGCTGAAATTCGAGGCCCCTCTCAGCTCACTGGCTGCCTTTGGACCAGGCTTTGATTCCCAGCCTGCCTGGAGGGATCAGGCCTAAAACCTCCACATGTGTGTGCCAGTGAGAGAGACAGACGTGAAGGGAGGGGTGGGGAGGTGCTGTTGAGGCACTGATGGCATGGAAGCAGGAAACTGGGGAGACAGCAGGGGGAGGAAACTGGCCATCTGGGCTCCCCAAACCCAGGGGAGCAGCGCCTCCTGATGAAGAGGGAAAGGGGTGGAGAACTGAGGGAGACATCCGTTGGAAGAGAGGGGCAATGCAAGGTCAAAGGGACCAGTGACCAGGGAGGTGACCCCATGGGAACTGGGGCCCGACCCCTTGAGCAGGCGGAGCTGCGGGAGCGGGCACCCGCTTCACAACAGTCTCTTTCATGGTGCTGCAACCCAGGGAAGTAGCCGAGCTTGCCAGGTGGCGTGTTATGCAAAGCCTGCCAGAACCTTTGTCTCTGTTGGCTGCAAAAGATTCTGTCTGTAGCCTTAAGCAACATGCTTATTTGCAGCTTGCATTACACGGGTAATTGAATAAAAGTATGACTTGACAGCTTGACTTCAAAGGGGGCTGAGCCCAAGCCGCTGGCCTTCCTCACAGGGGTGTTGGGAGGACAAACTGGAGGAAGGGGGAGATCATATTTATTTGATTTCTACCTTGCCTTTTTCTCATCTTGGAAAGAACTCAAGATGACTTACATCATTCTCTTTTTCTTGACCTCCATCCTATCCTAACAACAACCCTGTGAGGTAGGTTGGACTGAGTGTCAGTGACTGGCCCAAAGTCACCAGTGGACTGCATGGCTGAGAGGCGACTAGCACCCCAGCCGCCTGAGGCCCAGTCCCGTGCTCTTCACCACACCACCACACTGGGTCGTACACTACCTTAAACTCCTTGGAGGAAAGGCTAAAACAGGGAATGTAATAAACCGAAACAACAACAACAACAACAACAGGTCGAAAGTGATATGGTGACCTCAGAGGCCAGTCCTGACCTTCGGCAGGCTGGAGGGGCAACCTAATGTGGAAGGGGCAATGGGGAGAGCAGAAAGCCGTTCAGGAACAGAATTGCAAGTCCTGCGTAGTTTTCTGTGCACCTGCGAAGCTAGTTTTGTGCTTTCAGGTGAACAGGTAGACGCTTCCCCTTACTACTGTTGAAATTAAGATCGTGCTATCACTTTGGTCAGTATCAGCAAAACACCAAGGGCCACGCTGGGCAAAAGCAGAAACCAAGAGAGACAAAGCGAGCAAAAAGGGGGCATTTCTGATGTGGTTGTAGGGATACGGAGATCAGGCTCTTGCGCTTGCCCTGCCCAGGAGGCGAGCCGAGCTGAGAGCAATTCCGTGAATGCTGGGGATGCTGGCCGATCCTTCGCACAAAGGATACCAAGTACATAATGTTTTGTGGAAAATCCACAAAGTGCACAACTCTTCGTGAACAGGACGCAAATTGTGCCCTTGTGCAAAGTGAGCTAAGCCTGCAAGTGGCATGGGGACAGATTGCCACTTGGACTTCCTTTCTGCCAGATTCCCATGCAGACATTCAGCCTGAGGTAGACTTAGGGGAAGAGAAGGCAGGACAGAGTCCAGGGGGCCAAGCTGAGGAAATTCCGAGGATTCCACGCCCAAACCAGACTCCTCGCACACCCTTACGTGGCTGGCCGATGCGATGTGGGACGGCGACAAAGCGGACCGGCATCATGGCTTGCATTTGCTGTGCCTTGTCCTGACTTCAGCCTGGTTGCCTCAATGTCCCAAGGGCTCTCTCTGCCAAACACAACCTTTTAAGGCCACTCTGAACATTCTACTAGAAGCCCAAATAAATAATGTTGTACTTACCCTTTGCGTTATTATAGCAACATTACTGATATCATACAGGTAGAACTCTCTTCTATCCAGCAGTGAATTCAGGGCTGACTCAATTCCTAGGGAACCAAATAAAACCAAACTTGCACTGATGTTAGAATAAGCTCCAGGTTTTCAGCAGAGGTTGGCCAGAGGCAATTTTGGAGCAGCTCTGGGGCAGGGGCAGGTGAGGAATGCAACAAGGAGAGCACGGGTCTGATAGGATGTCTTGATTTGCCCCCCTTGGGTTCTGCTGCATTCACCTTAGGCAGGTGCCAGCTCATGGCACAGTGAGTCGAGCCAGCTCACAAAACCCCATCTCTAAGGCAGATTGTACTTTGCACATGTTCAAGTGCTCACTTAATTTGTGCAAAGCAGCACTCCAAATCCACGTGGCTCCAGCATCAGCCATTGGCACAGATTGGTATGTGTTTTCCTGGTGCTCATTTGCACACATTCCAGCAGCTAAAAACATGCACAGACTGCAGCCCGTCTTAGAGATGGAAACCAAAACGTTCCCCTGATTTGGGCTCTTCCCATCACAGGACTGGAAATGGGCAGGGCATCGACTGAACCATCGACTGAGCTGAGCTGCATTTCTCGACTGCTGCGCTCCGTTGAACCTCGTCACAATGCCGCTAAAGGGTGCAGAGCCGAGAGTTCCAAAACCCCTGCATGCGTTATTTTAAAGACGTTATTGCCAATAACTAAACATTAGGAAAGGCAGTCTGCTCTCTGAAGAGTTTGGGGAAGGGGGGATGGGAGAGCACCAGAGGACTGGGGGTGGTATGGGGAAAGATCTGTGACCATTCAGAGGGACTGCAGAGGACTAGATGGAGAAGCGGAGCAGATGTGACCCCTGAGGTGAAGGCTTGGCACCCCTCCCTGGCAGTAATGGGGTGGGCTCAAAAGTAAATGTTTGGGGCTACAGTCCAATATTGATTATACTGCCACCTGTCATGGTCATTTCACGTTGCAGCTCCTGAAATTCAAAATAGTACACCCACTTCTCACTGTAGTTGATGCTAGATTGGGCGCAAGCCGCAACGAGCCCATCCGGCCAACCTGCTCAACTCATAGGCTCGGTTCAGACAACAAAATTCTCAGTAAACCATGGGCTGTGGTTGACATGTGGGTTAGCATGTAGTCTGAACCCAGCCATGAGAACTCCCATGGCTTGTTCACCACAAACAACCCACAGCAACTAAAAGGATCAAGGATCTGGAGGCACCTCCTGCAAGGAAAGGCTACAACAGGCAGGCCTGTTAGGTTGGAAAAGGGGTGCGAAAGGAGAGATATGACAGAGGTGCTCAGAATTATTCGTGGTGTGTAGAAACTGGATAGAAAGACACTATTCTCCCCTTTCCAACGGGGAGAACCCACTGGGGTTGTTGCATGAAGCTGGCTGGCGGGACTTTCTGGGCAGAGCTGGAAAGACTTCTTCCTGCTGCACAGTGCGGATGCTGGAAATCCCCTCCCTGGACATAGCGATGGACACGGGTTTAGTTGCCTTTAAAAGGGGGCTGGGACCAATCAATGGAGGAGATGGCTATCAAGAGCTACTAGCCCCGAGGGACCTATGCTGCCTCTAGGACCAGAGACAATATTCCTGGGTGCACCAGTTGCTGGGGACCATGGGCACTCGTGGGCTTGTCAGATGCTACAGGCAGCTGGTCAGTAGGTGCAGGTGGCTGGGTGAGAGGGTGCTTTGGTTCTGATCCAGCAAGGTTCTTCTGATGTTCATCGCCTTCCCCAAACAATCAGGGGTTGTGTGGGGCAGCAGCTCAGGTAAGTGGCAGGTGACAGCCTCCCACCTCCAGTGCGCCCTTCATGTCCTCCCTGTTTGCTTGCCTTTGTGCATTGTTGGCAGGCCGGGAGAGACCCGTGTCTGCCACGTTGTGTTGCAAAGCCTAGGGCAGCGTTCTTTGGAATATGCGGTTCCCACAACATCCCATGGAGAGTTGACCGATCCCGAAGGCCAGCAAACAAAAGGTGGAGAAAGTGCTTTGGGGATTAGGTATGTGTTGGGACAGGGGCCCTAGACCTGTTGGGCGTTGATCCAAGTTGGAAAGGAATTGGGGGCAGTTTTTGACATGGGCTTCCAAGGTCCCCACTGGTTCTTTTCCAAGCCAAGCTCAAATAGTCTCCCACAATACAGCTACTTCCTGCTCCCTGTTCCCCAAATCAGGACGAATAAACTCACTTGAAACCACTTCGGGAATCCCAGAAGCCAAAATGATCTTCTCCAAAATGTGCCTCAACGTCTCATTATCCTGAAATAAGCGGTTGCGAGCAATGTTACGGATGGCAGCCATCTTTCCCCTTGCTAGTCCTGGAATTCACTTCTGCACAGATGTCATTGTGCCAGGCAGGCTACAAGATAAGCAAGTCTCTGGCCCACAGGGACCAGCTGCTCCGAACAGAGAAGCGTCACCTTTCAGCCCAAAGGCCTTATTCACTTCTGCCGCAGTCACATCTGAGTGGCCACGGCAAAAGGAGAGGAGGCAAAATTTCAAAAAAACGAACTCAGGGCCAGCACAATGCTCTGGAAGGGTGTATTTCAGAAAGGCATTTCAACTTTCCTAGAATGTGTGCATGCCGGGAAGCTGCCAAATGCTTGGTGGAGGGAAGAGCGAGTCGGGGTGGGGGCAGGGTGCGCAGCCAGTTTGGGGGAACCCAGAAGGGCTGCATCAAGAATGCAGGTGAACCGAATTCGCAAACCTGACATTCTTGCCAAAGCGTCCAGGTGGGGGAATGACCCAGATTTTCCCCAGAGCTGCAGTCCATGGGCAAACCAGCTGAAGCCAATTTTGTTTCCAGGTGCCAAACTTGGCTTATAGAAACACAGAAACAGAGAAACAGAGCGAGTAAGAAGGGGTTCCCCGGGCCATCTAGTCTGACCCTCGGCTCTGGCCGGCGCCACTCACGACATGCCCAGCATGCGCAGAGATAGAAAGGGGAGTGTTCATTACCACATCCTGTAAATCCTCTTTGTAATTCTTATATTAGCCCTGCTAAGTGGGTCATTATTTATTTATTTACATTTATTATACTGCAATATCTTATGGTGTCTGATTCTGGCAGCAAAGTTCACTCCAGGGAATATTGGACAGCAAAGCTGATGCAGCCAATGGAACCTGGGGTAGGGGGAAAGAATATTTCTTAACAATATCAATATGCCACCATATAATAAATGTCTCACAGGCGATTTGCAAAACCAGCAAGACATTAATACATCATTGTGAACTGCAAGAACAAAGACAGGTGCCTCAGAATTCGTTTTCATGCAATCTTGCCGGCGCAGGCCATAAATTGGGGGTGAGCCCCCTGCGACGCTCAACCTAATTTCTGTGTCCCTCTGCCCACTTCCAAGCCCCCTTCTGGAATCATTAGACTGGGTGGTTTCTGGCAAGAATGACCCAAGCCTTGCTGGTGAGGAAGAGCGGAGGAAGTGGGCGGGGGGGCAGAGAGAGAGAAACAAGTGGCAGAGAGAGAAGAGGATGTTGGAAAGAGGGGAGAAAGAGGGCTCTGGTGGGGGGGTGGGCAAGGATGAGAGGTGGGGAGGCTGGCAGCAGCAGGAGGACAAGTCTGCCTTTCCTCCCTGGCAGAGGGCCCGTGAAAGGACCATCTTCTGGGACCATGCAATCCCTGGCCGAGAACGGCTGCCCCTCCCTGCCGGGAACGCTGGACACTCACCACAGCCAGAGTGGGGGGCCCCTTCGTGGTTCTGAGCTGGGCCCTGCAAGAGAACCATGGGGCCGGGTGAGTGGGCGAGTGTCATGGCTCCGTCCCCATCACCGGTCGCATCCCACTCAGAGGGGGCCGCCCGATGCACGGGGGGTGGGGCAGAGGGCATACGCACGTGGCATGCGAAAGATTCAGGAGCAGCTTTTTCTCCACGTAGGAAGCCTGAACAGTGACAGCAGCATCCTGCAAGGAGAGACAGACCAAACACGGGGCGTGACTGAACAGGAAAGCGAGGTTGCTTACCTGGAACCTGGAGCGGCCACCTGCGCCTTCGCCCTGACGGCTCTGTGCCCGCCTCCGGGAAGATTTTCCCAGCTAAGCTCAGTGTTGCTGCCGGGCACCCCACCCGCTTTCCCCTGGCATAATTGGTAGGGCTTCCGCCATTTCCCTCGCTTCAAATAAGGCCGCTGTTCTGGCCTCAGGTCCGGGGACTGGGGCAGACCACAGCACAGACTGCCTGAAACAGCACAGAGCTGAGGAAGCGGGGAAATGGATCCCCCTCTCCCCACCCTCCCCAGCCTCTTCTGTGGGAGCCAGGGGAAACCGTTGCATCCTTGAAATGCGGCTTTCCTTCCCCACTCTGCTTCCCTTGAGCGCCATGTATTTTTTCATTGCATGCCTGAAGACATGGAACACTTTAATTCATGGTTTGCAGCCCTTTTTGGCTGCAGATGGGGATGGAAATACTTTGAACTTGTACACAATCCACCAAGATAAGCTTTGCTGCAGCTGCGGGGAGCTGAGAAACCGAAACTCCTCTGTCCCCAAGTTCAGAGAACCGTGGGGCTGTTGGTGTTTTTTTCCTGCCTAACCATGCATAGGACTGAGTCCTTTAAGAAAGAAAGATGTAACAATAATTTTAACAAGATGCGTGTGCGTAAACACCAGTGTATTTGTAAAGGGTGCTGTGTAATCATTGAATACTTTTGCTTGCGAGGTAGTTCTCCAAGGTCATTTCTCCATCCACACAGCAACAACTCTTCCACTTTTCTTTCCTATTTCTACTTAGGCACAGCAAGAGCTTCCCTGGGTGTATTTCTTTCTTAAATGCACGTGTTACCCAACTAGCAGATACCCTCATGGCAGTTCATATGTCCAAAGAACTGAAAACAACCACAAAGCAACCACCGAAACAAGAAATACGCCGATTGGAGTTGACAGGTTAAAACGGGAAGAGTATTAAAGAGAGAGCGGCATAGATCATAATTGGACTAACAGATCTGTACTGCCTGAAGATGGAGATCTTAGCCTGAGTCTCTCTGGTTGGGCATTCCAACCGGGACATCTGTAGGGTCCCTGCTGGTTGTCCATCACACCACTGAAGGGTGTGTGGGGAGAGAGGGGGGAAAGCAGGGAAAAAGAGCATTCAAGCATAGGCTTCCTTAATTTCGTTCTGATCTCACAGGATATGGCAAACATGTTAATTTGGACTTCAACAGCTTTCAGGGAGGATTAAATAAATCCATAGAGGACAGATCTTCTCCATAACATCAGGTGGCATTTCCAGGATGCTGACATGTGAGAGACAGCCCACAAGCCACTGCTGGAGACCGGAAGGCCTGTTTGGTGCACGTTTAGGCTGCAATTCAAAGCCCCCCCCCCCCGCCCCCAGTAAAAGGTCTAAGCAGCCTTCCCCAACCTTGAGCCTTCTAGACACTTTGGGATGCCAATGGCCCTGCTGGATGGGAATTCTGGGAGTCGTGGTCCAGAGGGTACTAGGTTGGAGGAGGCAGGTCTAGGGACTTGTCTCCATGGAGAGGCACCTAGGGTTCAACTCTTAGGTGGGCCTGGAGGGCTCTTGGGATGTTCTCGCCCAACCTGCAGGAGAATCCCACAGCATTCCCTTCCGTGTAACACATGCCTGCCTGTATTGTCTGGCTCCCAGCCAGGTCTCTTCCTCGTCTTGCAAGGCAGGGGTCAGGACATAACTCACCGTCTCAAAATACAGCACCATGGAGGGCTCTTCTTCTAGCGAAGAAGCTGTGAGCTCCACCGCCACGGACGATTTCACCACCGTCCCCTCGGGCTCAAAGGTGATCTGGGGAATAACTAAACTCCACACCTTGGCCACGCAGTCGCCGTAGGAGGTGCCCTGAAAAATCTGAGCAACAGAAAGAAGATCGGAGCATGGCCGTGGCTGCCACTCTCAAAATCTCAGCATTGGATTTATCATCAGTCTCTTGTCATTGTGTAAAACAACAACGCACAATGTTGCTTGGGCAGAAATGAAGAGGCAGGGCTGGGGGGTGGGTGGGTAGGGGCAGGAAATGTTTTTATATCTTATTATGGCCTGGTTACCTGAAGGAGCATCTCCTTCCAGATGTGCCTGCCTGCCCGCCCCTTGAGACCTGGAGCAGACGCCCTTCTCTGGGTGCCCTCCCTGAAGGGGATGAGGAGGGTGACTACCCGGGGAAGGGCCTTCTCTGTGGTGGCACCCCAATTGTGGAATTCGCTCCCCAGAGGGGTTCGCCTGGCACCGTCATTTTATTCTTTTCAGCACTTGGCCAAAACCTTTTTATTTTCCCAATGTTTTAAGACCTGACTGTTTTAACTGGGGTTTTATTGTTAGCTGCATTTTCAAGACTCCGTGTTTTAATTTTTTTTACATTTTGTATTGTTAAACCATCCCGAGACTTCAGTAATGGGATGGTCTTGAAAAGTTTTAAATAAATAAATAAATGATATACTGCATTGTATTATGTGTTACATTGTACTATGTATTGATACTATGTATTGCATTATGCAATTGTACCAGGCTTTATTTTGATTTTGTATTGCTTACAGTTAAATTTTGTATCGCTTGATTACATTGCTCTAATGTATTATTGTATTTGTTTGGAGAATATTTTAAGCTGCCCAGAGAGCCCAATGGGATATGGGCAGTATACAAATGGAATGGAACGGGGTTTCTTCCATACCTGAGCCCCAGCTGAATGGGTGGGGATTTAGGATGCTATTGAGCCCTACATAAACATTACAGGGCAGGCCTGGGGCCAGCAGCTCCACCATCGGTCCCAACCTGGGAATTGTGTTCTGATACCGCAACTTCTTTACTCTGAACTCTAACCCACAGCTGAAAATAAGTGGATAGAATCAAGCCATTTTGGCTGATACACCCGTGCAATTTTCCAGCCTCATGAATAAATCTATCACATATTCTGCTGATGCACTGCTTTTGAATGCAATTGCACATTCAGGAATTTGCAGGCATTTCTTGGAAACGTTTCCAGCTCATGTGCTGGAGTGCAAAAAGGACACATTCGTATGATTTGCCAATGAGCACAGTTTTTTTCGACATTCCTAAATGAGGAATGTTCTCAGATTTCGATCTTACTCAACCTTTAGGCCAATATGAGATCGTTCTCCCCCCCCCCCCCCCGCCATGTGCTGGAGGAGCAAAAGTGTATCTTCCCTTTTCCGAAGGAGCTTCCCATATTTCCTTCAAGGAAGAGCATCTCAGTAGAACAGCTGGGAAGCTGGTCAAGGGTGGGAGACTGGAGGAAAGGGAAAGGGGGAGCAGCTGCCCAGGGAAGCCCAGAGGGTCAGGCTGCCCACGCAGGCTGGAGGGCCCGCATCCGAGAAGCACGTGCAGCACCAAGCCGATTTTGCCCATGTCCCTCTTGCCGCCATGGCTTAGGAAGGCTTGGTGGGAAGTCCGGGGGGCAGTCCAGGCTTGCACAGGAGCTGCCCGGAGCCCACCTGCTCTGGTTCTCTGCCCAGCCCTGATCGGGCCAGGTCTCTTCGTGTGCTGCCCCATTCTCCCAAGTACACTGCTGCGGGGTTCTTGGCCTGTCAGGGGGCCCTGGAGCTCACGCTGCAGGGCATTCCCTCGGTGTCTCTGATCCCGAGGACAGCAAGGAGCAGCCTGCGAGCTGGGCAGGGGCTCAGGGCAGCACTGGTCTTGCGAGGGAGCCCAGGTCCCTGGGGATGCGGGCGGCTGGAACAGAATTCGGCTTTCCCAGTTCCTTCTCCAAGGAGACCCCAGTTTCCAGGGCTGAACCCCAACACCAAAACTGGACGAGAGCCCAGCTCCAAATTTTTTTCCTGGCAGCAAGAACTGGCTTGGCCGGCAACACTGCCCTTGTGTGTCAAAAGAAAACAAATTTTAAAAGCTTGATTTTTTTTTTTAAGAAAGGGATTTGCAAAAAGAGGGCTGTTGTTTCCCTCAGAAAAGTGATATTCAGTTATCCATCTGTTACCTGCTTGGTCAGCATTACCTTTTGCACCGTGTCCTGGTGAGTTTTCAGCTCTTCACTTTCAAATATTTCCTTTAAAAAAAAAACAAGAAAGGAAAGAAAGGGGGAGAGATTTTTCCCCCCTCTGACCTAGAGCTTGTACACATGCACTACAACTCCCATCATCCTCAACCATCTCAGGAGCTCACTAGAAAGCCCAGATCCCCAAGTCTCAAGCAAGAAACCAGGAACCATTTCACCCTTTTCATGACCTGAGACGACAGGCAACACATATTAAGGCCCAATCCTGCAGCTCGTTTTATGAGAACCAGACCACGTATCACCATTCAACGGGTTCAGCCAAAGACGGTACCCACAAGTCATGCTTGACATCCTGTTTAACATGGGAAAAGGAGCAGAAGGGATGCCTGGTTCCATTTGAACCCGTGCTTTGATCCATCCTTTTAGAGCAACCCCTGGGCCTCAATCCCTGAAGGAATACCTCTGCCAACCTCAATCTACCTGGGCCGTACGACGTCCATTTGGAGCTTTCCTCCAACTGTCACTTCCCAGGTAGGTCCAGGAAGAGGCAACACGAGGAAGGCCTGTTCAGTGATGGCCCCACAATTGTGAAAAGGTCTTCCTGCTGAGGAAGGAAGTGCCAGCACTAGCATCTTTTCTGGCACCTCTGCTCCCAGGCATTTAATGGCCTTTCAGGGCGTGGCAGGAGGTTGCAAGTGCTGTTTTAAGTACAGCTGGTTTTCGGTGGAACCGTTTGCGTGCTAAGCTGCCTTGCATTTTTGCACATGGGTACATGCCCATTCTGCCTCGTCCTCACCTCGCCCTGGATTCAACAGGCGCTCGGATTACATCTGCAAAGATTACCTTCAATTTTTCTCCCGTGATGTTTAAAGCCAGCCGCTGATCCAGAAAGGACACTATGGCCAGGGACTGAATGACATGCTCTGCAAACCAGAAGTAGAGCATTTGGGATTCGGGCAGTAAAGCAGGGGTGAATGGAGAGCCTTGCAGAACATCTGAATAGTTCTTGTATAAGAGGAGGCCCTTGAAGAAAAGAGAGGAGAAGAGAAGCGGAGGAATGTTGTGGATTGAGGGCTGTTGATGCTTCCTAAATTGCTCCTATGAAAAAGCCTTAGATTTTTCCTAGACATAGAAGGAAAATGGTCCAGTGCATTTGTTCAACTTTGGGGGAGGAAGAACCTTTGCTGCACTGCAGCACAGAAATTCCCAATGCAGAATCCGTGGGCCCACAGGACTCTCCCTATTTTATGTATGTATATATGTATGTATGTATAACTTTTATATGCCATTCTATATGTGAGACATCTCAGGATGGCTACAATATGGCTTTATGCATTTATTAATTTATTTAAAATATTTGTATGCCGCCCAATTGTGCCGCAGCCCCTCTGGGTGGCTCACAGCACGAGATAAAAACACAATAAAAACATAATAAAAACCGTAATGCGTTACAGCAACAATAAAATTCAGCAAAATATACAAAACAAAGGTCTTTGACAATTAGGGATTTAAAAGCTTTTTTAAAAGGAAGGTCTTTGTCTGGCACCAAAATGAAAGTAAGGGAGGCGCCAGGCAAATGTCTCTCCAAATATGGGGAGCGGCTGCAGATAATTTTAGCATTATCTGTCACAGGGTATTTAATTTCCATGCATAGGTTTGGAAGAAATGCCTCCACTTAATTGCTTAGATGTTGTATGCTTGCATAAAAGCAGACCAAATAAATTTCTGCTTGAAGCTGGTATTTCTACGCCGTACCTTCAAACAGAGAATGCACCGGGCAGCCCTTAATGCATTGCATTATTGAAGGTAGTTACCTTGCTATCATTATACTACCAGCCTTTTAGCTTTCCTAAGGACAAAGAAGCCATTTGTTAATTGCCTTGAAGTCGGCCCTTTTCCCCTCTTTTTTTTTTTTTTTTTAATTTGCCACACCTTGCCTGATGAAGAGACTTGAAGGTTGCAAAAGTTTGTACAGTTTTGGGGATCTTCCAGTTGGCCCAGTAAAATGACTGTGATGAGATGGATTCTGGAGTTTTTCTTCCTCTTACAGCCAACACAATGATGTTTGCTTATTGTATGTTATCACAGGATTACCTTGGTTATAAAAGGGGACTATGGTTGTATTGAGCAAGTCTAGCCAGTGCGGTGGAGAAATGAATGAGCAGGACCAGGACCGGGGCAATCTGGGTGCAAGTCCCCATTCAGCCATTGGAGCTCACTGGTGACTTTGGGCCGGTCACAGACTCCCACCCTGACCAACCTCACAGGGTGGTTGTGAGGATAAAATGGAGAGGAGGGGGGCATTGTAAGCCACTGTGGATTCCTTACTAGAAGAAAGGTGGAGCGTAAAAGTGATGGGATGATAAAATCTGTCTGAAATTTCTTGTGCACTTGTTAGTAGATAAAGGTATAATCCTTCACAGGATAATAGATAACAATAAAAAGCACTGGTGGAATTGTTACAGACTCCCTGCATTTAGTTACCCTTTAAGCTCTACATCTCCCCCTTTCATCCATATGTATACCAGCTAACTAAGGACTACACTGGATGACTAAATAACTCGCAAGGCTTCCAGGCGCTCAGAGGCTCTCTGTTTCCTTACCATGCGAAGGTAGAACCCCGTTTTCTTTCTGCATTGCAAACACTTCCACTGAATCAGCTGAGCTCGCATCACCAACCAAGACACCTTTTGGCCCCGCATGGGCGGATTTGCAGGTGGACGTGTTCCCTTACCTTATGGTAGGATTCTAAGTAATTTGCTTTTATTACTGGGTATAGTGATGGAGAAAGATCCACTGCTATATCCCCATCTTCAAGAAATTGTGCTGCAAAAATTAAAAGAAAAGAAAAAGAAAGGCGTGTGTTTTTCCCATTCAGAAAGACATCTGAAGAAAGAATAGAGAGACTCCCTTTTACAAGGAGGCTGCTCAAGCCGCCCACCCCGGGCCTGGCTTCTGCCAAGGAACCCCAGTGCAGGCTGCTCAGCCCCAGCTCCTGCTATCCTGCAGAGGATGCAAGGAATGAAATATGGGGTGCCCCACCCAGCCTCTTCTGCTGGGCCCTTCTTTAGATCGGGGAGATGGGCCCTCTGCAATGCCCCGTCCCCCGCTTCTGAGGCTGCCAGCGCTGACAGAGTCTGCGTGGCTTCTTTCAGGAGACAGGGCCCCCCACAGGACGGGGCTTGCCAAATGTCGTGAGGCTGGAGCACTCTTTCTAATTGCTCACACGGCTACAGGCAATAAAGGTTTAACGCCTTTTATTCTAAACACTTCAAAGATAAGTAGGCAATGGATACCACAGGAGCAGTGAATGGTACTTCTAAGCAACACAGCTGCCCCTCCTTTCCAACCTCTCTCAGATTTATGACGCACTCTTAACCGATGGGGACGCACCTCCCCGCCCCCCAGGGGCTAGATAAACTCCTCTCCCTCCTTGACTTTGCTTCTCTTCTAATTGGCTCAAGCACCGACGTCTTCTCCCCAGCTGGGCATTCTCCATGGCAACGGACATTCCCATGGTTGGCCCAGGAACGTTATCAGGAGCTTGAATAAAAACTTCATCAGAGTCAGGTGGGGGGGCGTGTTTGTGCATGGGCACCAAGTAGAAATTTTCTTGCTCTAAAGCCTGACTCTCAGTGGGAGCTTCTTGCTCTCTTACATGTGCTAACAACTCCTCTGAGTCATTATTATTATTATTATTATTATTATTATTATTATTATAACATTTCTATGCCGCACGACACCAAACTACATGAAGTTTGAGTTGGCCTCAACAGTCCGCTGAGACAACATCTCTCAAGAGCTCGGTTAGAGGGCTCAGTTTTGCCAGGAAGAATATTCACCCCCATTTTCCCCCTTTCAGCTCTTCCTATAAACCTTTCAGCCAGAGAATAGGATAGGGTGCCCTGGGGTTGTGGGAAGGCAATTCCACATGGGTGTGCAGCAGATGCCTCAACTTGGGGATACATAAGAAATTTGTTTCAATTTCTTCTTGGCCCAAGTGCATCCACTTTGGACCTCCCAGACCTGAACTGCAGGCCAACGTTTCTGCATCACCAATCTCGTGAGGTGTGTTTGAAAAGGGCGAACAGCTGAGAATGGAAAACATTTGAACTTGAAAAGGTTTGAACTTTGGGCATATGCACATGGACATGCTTTAATCTATGGGGGAAATGCGTACATTGCAAAATGTGCACCATCGATACTCTGGTTGGAAAATACACACCCAGAGAAGCATGAATTTTCCTGCAAAAAGCAAAAAAGCAATGCCCCCAATCAGAAAAGTGATGCCCCCCAGCAGAATGAGCTTGGTGTTGGGATGCAGGGAACCTTGGTGAGCTTGGATGAGGAGAAGGACCTGCACATCCCTACCTCCAACGCATTTTATCCTCTCCAGGACATTCTCACAAGCCGTCTGGCCCACCTTTATATGGCCATTAGCTGGGTCTCGGGACTGGATTTGGCACAAAGAGACCTGCTGTTTCCATTCGCTAACTAGCTACATGCAAAATGAAGTTGGGTCCCACATGTATGTAAAGGGTGATCAACGTCAAAATTAAGTGCCAGCATCCTCAGAGGAGATCAGTGTCTGGGAAGAGGGGAAACTTTTAATGCAATCTGTGTGAGGAGAGGGGAGGATTTACCTGCCTGGTCCTGGACAGACTCTGTCAGCAGTTGAGAAATGGAGTTAATTTCCTTACACACCTGTAAAGGAGGAAGGGAGAGGTCCAAGTCAGTGCTTGTGTGCAAGCCTGCAGAATTCCTGAAACATTTGCTCTGCACAACTCCTTGTGGGGGTTTCAGAGAGGCAAGGGAAGAAGGAAGAAGCTTGCTGATCAGATGAACAATAGCTGTGAAGGGAGGGATTAGACTAAGTCCAAGGCTGGCCAGGTGTGTTTCCCCACATCTGGATACTGATCTGAAGCAGCTCAGGAGAAACACACAGGAGAAACTCCACAGGGGGTACGTTCTTTAAGACAGCTTCTCCCAAACGTGTGTCTCCAGACTTCAGATCCCCAAAAGTCCCAGCCAGCATGGCCAATGATCAGAAATGCTGAGAATTGCCTTCCGATTGCCCCTGGTGCCTGCAACGGCAGGGGGTTAGGCCTGATAGCCTTCATGGTCCCTTCCAGCTCTACTATTCTGTGGTTCTACGATTCTATGATCCAGAGACCATGTGCTAGGATATTCTGCCTCCAAATTTGTAAGTTTTCCTCCAGGAGGCAAAGGACCACATTGGGGGATTAATTTGGATTGTGAAAAACGAGTGGAACAGGACAGTTCCTTCTTAATCTCCGTGCTTCCCTCCCTCTGGAAGCACCCCAGTTGCCTGGACAAACTCCACATTCCTTGCAAACTGGCAAAGAAGTCCCGCTCCAGTCTGCTCACATCGGGAACCAGTGTAGTGTGACTGGGAGCCTGAGCAAGCTGGGTTTCGAGTGCCCACTGAGCTTTGAAGCCACTCTCAACCTGGCCTACCTCGCAATGTTGTTGCTGAGAGGATAAAAGACAAAAGCTTGGAAACTGCCTTGGGCTTTTTGGAGGAGGAAGAAAGGTGCAGTATACATGCCATAATTATAAATGAATTTTGCTCCTTGAAGGCGAGGAAGCTCTCAGTCCTCTTTCATGGTAAAGCCAGATTGTCCGTAATTCCATTAAGAGCTTGAAAATTAGACATTTCTCTTCCTCTGTTTTTGACAGAGTGGACTCCAGTTAATTCGTTTTTAGTTTTTACTGTAGCATTGACCCTTCTTACCCTACTTTGGAGAATCAGCTTCAAGGTGAACGAGATGAAGTTTGTAAAAACCTGTTTTAGCCATCCGGGCCTGTGCAAAGAGAGACTGTGGGTGAGTTCAAAGGTCTAAGTTCCAAGGAGAACATAATCTGGCTCTCCTTCATACTTTCTCAATTCAATCACTTCCTTTCTCAGGTAAACACACTTATTTGCTAGATTTATATCCCACTTTTTCTTACAAGCTCAAAGCAGCTTACAGCATTCTCCTGCTGCGGCTCTCCATCTTATCCCCACAACAACAGCCCTGTGAGGTAGGCTAGGCTGGGCTAAGAGTCTGTGACTGGCCCAAAGTCACCCCGTTGGCTGCATGGCTGAGTGGGGACTAGAACCCTGATTGCCCAAGTCCCAGACCCGCACTCTTAACCACAATGCCACACCAAGCAGTTTCGTGCTTGGGCTTCTGTTTTACTTATTCTGCCAACAGGAGATGGTCTACCATGCAAGTTGCCTTACACTCTTCGAAAGAAAAGGGGAACAGAAGTAATATTATAATTAATGTTCAATTGAACATACAACCAAAACAGCACTACTTGTAAAATAAAGACATATAAAATTAAGCATGCAATGAAAATAAAAGTAATATAATTATTAAAATAAATAATAATCATAAATATCAAATAAATAAATATAAAATAATACATATAATTTATTTAAATGTAATTAAATAATAATCAAAATAATTAAAAATACGGTGCCCACCCCCCACAACCAGGACCATAGGATGCATGTCACAGATTTAAAAACTGCATTCAAACATTTTTTCAGGAATTTCCCCCTTCCAAACCTGCAATGATTTTTTGGCAGTTTGAAACCTTTCCCCTTTTTCACGAGGTACTCAATAAATATACTCCAAATCTCATTAAACTTCTTTTTCTTTATAGCTCCTTTCTCATTTTAATAGCACAGGTGAATTTATCATTGTTAGCTATATCCCATTGTTTCTTAAATATTAAAAGTGATGTAATTTCAGGGCATATTTCTATATTAATATTCCTATATTTATATTAGGATTGGTTATGATTGATTTACTCCATTTAGGAGTTGTGCCGCAGCCGGAGCATTCAGGTTGAAATCTGTCCAGTCCAAGAAGATGCCTGCCAATGGGAATGCCATACATATGCCTGACCTTGCCAGACTATGAAACCAAGGCACCTTAAGCTCACCAGGTATGAAAATGATTTTCAGATCTGTACCTGGATTTTTAAAACCGAGAATAAATGGCCCTGTGTCTCCATGCTGCAGTACTGCTTTTGGTCTCCAGGTGGCAGCCTTTCCCAATTTTAGAGTCAACATCAGTTGACGCCCAGGTGGAAGATCTTAAAGGAGACCCATTGAAAGGAATGGAACTCAAGGTGTCTCCTATGAAACGCAGTCTGCATGGGCCTAGCTCTGGCAAACATGTAGCCAAGCAGAGATTTGGACATGCTGCACTTGGCTCCTAGCTTGTGTTTCTAACCCACCTGCTACACCGGTTCTTAAGCAGCACGTACCTTGGCAGACAACACACCTTGACAGGTGAAAGCATCGCTGGAATAAGCAGAAGCTTCCCCCCACAGGCTCAGTTCGCCAGCCCCCTCCCCCTCTGCACCAAAGCAGAGCCAGACGTTTCCGGGGGGGGGGTCTGACAGAGGTGAGCAGTGCCTCACCCCACCATGCATCCCACGGGACCACGTACTCTTTGTCTCGCTGGAGATGCAGGTTCAGTTTATGGAAAGTCAGCGAACAGTCCAGGAGGTCCACCGCCAGGCGCTCCTTTCTGCAAACTGTACAGCACAGAAAGTCCGGGGCTCCAGTCATGAGGAATCATGATCCACTGAGCGCACACATGCATGCGCGCACACACACGGAGGGAGGGAGGGAGGGAGGTTCTGGGAACAGCTGTGACAGCCCCAGGACCCTGACTAGACTTCACCAAGAATACCAGATCTTCTAACCCTGCTTTTCCCCCCAGTGCTCAGAGAAGCGGGTTCAGCCGCCCCTTAATTTCCCAGAATGCCCCTAACCCAGCATCACTCTGGGGCATTGTGGTCAATGAATGGTGTGCTAGACCAGGCCACCTTGGACTGCTGGGAGGCTCTCTAAGCCATGGAGGTTTTCCTGATCTAGGCCTCACACAGTGGAGAAGCCCATGTGTGCGATGCACAAAGACCATGAAAAGCTGCAGCTCGAGGCTCCACTCCCCAGCCTGATTTCCACAAAGTTGGTTTCTTCTGCCCCCAGCCATTCAGCAGATGAGGGGGTGGCTGCATAGCATTTCTACCCCACCCTTTTTCCTCTTGTGAGGAACCCAAAGTGGCTTATAAAGCTCCATTTTAGCCTCGCCACAACAAGTCACCCGGTGAGCTCCATGGCCAAGTGGGGACTAGAACCCAGATCTCCTGGGTCCCCAGTCCAGCACTTTCACCCTGGCACCACACCACCTCTCAAATGTGGCAGCGAATTTGGAGTGTTTCTTAATCCCTTTGCAAATTTCAACACCAGAAGGTCTCCACCAATTTGAAGGATAATAAACCAGAGTCTCCTGCACAGAAAAGAGAAGCAAGTTTGCCTTAAACTCTGCCTGCCCCGATGGGTAATTCCCTTCCTCATATTAGTAATCCTTCATTCTGTCCAACCTGTGAATACAAAGTGGGAAGCCATTATCTGATCTGGGCAGCAACATTTAAGAAAGGTGCAGGAAAATTGGAAAGGGTGCAGAGGAGGGCAACAGAAATGACCCAGGTTTGGAAACACTGCCCTGTGAGGAGAGGCTGAGAGAACTGGGCATGTTCACCCTTGAGAAGAGAAGGCTGAGGGGGGACAAGAGATCCCTCTAGAGGTCCCTCAAAGGCTGCCACAAAGAGGGAGGTCAAGATCTCTTCTCACTGATACCAGAGTGTGGGGCACGGAATAATCAAGTCAAGCTGCAACTACCCAGATTCAGGCTGGACTTCAGCAAAACTGTCACTGTCAGAGCAACACGACACAGGGACCAGCTGCCTGGAGAGGTGGGGGGCTCTCCCATGCTGGAGACATTCAAGAAGAAACTGGGCAGCCCTCTGAGTGGGAGGGTGCGACTTGGTGTCCTGCAGCAGCAGGGGGTTGGACCCAGATGGCCTCCATGGCCCCTTCTGACTCTAGGTTCTAGGATTCTATGATTCAGCCACAAAGCCAAGCTCTTTCTGAGTGGGGGTGCTCTAATTTCGGTTCAGCAGTCCCACCTCACCATTGCCAGCTCCCATGTACTGACCCACACCACTTCAGAAGCACGATGGACTGGCATCACTGGGCACACCTGGGCAGAGGAGAGTGAAATGGCCTTATCCCCAGCCAGTGAGGTAGGTGGGCCAGACGGGGACCTTCCAGGGCTGAGCAGGGCCGGAGCTCCCCCCACCCCCTGCCACCCCATTCAGAGAGATTTTTAAATGTGGTCACCAGGCCATGAATCCATGAAACCAAATGGATAAAAGCACCTCTGTGTCTATCGATACAGGCACAGCACTGAGGGGCTGTGCAGCTACTTACTCAACTTGAAGCTTATTTGGAGATCGATGGAAGACTCGATTTCAAAGTCAATGTAATGGATGAGTTCTGCCCTGGAACGACAGATGGGGCGGGTGCCGAGATGGGGCCACTGGCTCTGCCGGGGCGCTCAGGCAGGTGCGGAAAGGGACTCCTGGGCAGAGGCAGCAGGGGGTGGAAAACCTGGAAGTGGCCTTAAAGGCAGAGGGAGCGGAGAAATGCAGGAGGAGGGCAAGCCTGTGTTGCTTCTGGAGCCGTGCAAAGGTCCGGAGAAAGAGCACTGCCAGTCCAAAGGTGAGGCATCAGTTAAGGAGGGAAGACTGAGAAAGGGAAGGAGCGCGTCCTTCTGCGAGGTTGACTCGGAGAAATCAGGAGCTGCTGGAGGGGGTGCCGTGAGAGGAACTTACACTGCCCTGGAATAACCTTCAACAGGGTAGGGTTGTACTGATGGACTCGGGCTATCAAAAGCTCACATGGCTTGCTGCGCTGGTTCTCCATGCTTGCCACCCTCTCACCGGCAACTTTACAGTGTGCTTGCTCGTTTGCCATTTAGCATGGCAAAGCCTGGGATTAGGAGAATATTTGCTGAGCCTAACTCCAAAGGGAGGGAGAGAGGACGAGGACGTGGGGTTGGAGTACACAGTCTCGCATGTGAATTTGCCAGTGAGACAGTCCAAAAGGTGGGGAATGGCTGGAATTAGCAAGTAGACTGATGGCTGAATGGGAGATCACAGGTTTTGCCAGCGTGCTTCTTAGATCAAGTCGGGGGCTAAATGAGCTGTGTGACCAATGCTAGAGTTCGGCCATATGCCATGCTGGCTGGGAATGATGGGAACAACAGTCCAATCGGCAACCTCCCAAGGTGGGCATTGCATAGTCACACCTGTGCCGGGCACGTGACGTGGTTCACCCAGCACTTGGCTACCCTCGATGAGCCTGGCACGCCATGCAAACCCAACCAAAGGTTTCTCTGGATACTCACAGCCAGGTGGCCACATATCCGTAGCTGAGGGTTCCATTGAAGGAAGCCGAGACGTTCTGGATCGCAAGGTCGATGGCTTGGTCCTCCCTGAGATCCACCTCCGTGTTTTGTATGCTCAGATCATTCACATGGATGCTACAGAAGAAGATGGTGGAATCGCTGGCTCCGCACAGTCGAGCTGCAGGGATGTAACCCGTGCAAACCAGGGAGTCTCCCACCGCCCGTCCTCAGACACACACCCCGTCTTTGGATATCTGGCTTAGACCATTTAAGGCAGGTGGGTCACACTGGGAATGCAAGTGGGCTGCATTCACCACGCAGGCCTGAAGTTCTGTATCCTGCTCTAAAGGGTGGCCGCTAGCTAGATGTAACTTCCAGGCTTCAAGGCAAGTCCTGGTCTGCCCCCATGGCTATCGGAGCTACATTTCCTGGTCCTATAGGACTGGGCCTTCTTGAGGGTGGCACCCAGGCTGTGCCACTCCCTGACACCAGAGGCCCACGGCATCCCCCGCCTTGTGCCTAGAAGCATCAGGTGAGCAGACCGCGGTGTTCAGTAAGGCACTCTTGGTTAGCTGCTGTGCTTTACCCCACTCTCCCCAACTTGGTGCCCCCAGATGTTTTGGGTGGCAACCCCCACAATCCCTGACTGTTGGCCATGCCAGCTGGGCTGAGGGGAGTTGTAGTCTGTAGACCAGATCTGGAAGGTACTGTGTCAGGGAAGGAAGCCGACTGCTAGTATTTGGGATTCTCCTTTGGAAATTTTAGAAGTCATTCACTGCAACTTATATCATGGTTTTTAGCAATGCCAAGAGCTTTAGTTCAGGACAGAAAAACAGGACATAAATCAGGGAGATCAGAAGCACACTTACTTGGTCAGTCCGTAGGCTACCTTGCCAAGCAAATGCATGGACTTCTCCCCTTTAATGTCTGGATAGTCTGCATTTCGAAACGCCGCTTGAATCACTCCAGCAGTTTCTGTATTCACTGCCAGCAAGAGAACACAATGCACGGCCGCTGGGGAGAGCTGCCCTGGTTAAGTCCGAGGCTGCATTCACACGGCCCCGTGCAGTTACCATGGTTTCCGTTTTTTTACCATGATCTGCCTGATGGATAATCAGGTGATTTCTACCTTATCATAGTTTCCATCCTCCCAACTCATTCCTCCCACTGAGCCCGAAATTGGATCCAAGGTGCATCTCTCCCTGTCTCTCCCTCATTGGCCCGGGCACAGACCCTGGGAATGGCTAGAGTAGCTCCTGCAGCTGTCACTCTTTCCAGGGAACTCTGTGGTAGTTGCATATCAGGACCATGGAAACCATGATCCAGGGTTCAGACAGCACAACAAACCATGATAGTACAGAGACCAGAGGACAAACCATTATTTCTTATTGGGGCTTCTAAAGACCAAGCTTACCATGCTGAAACACCACAGCTGGGTTCAGACAATATGATAAACCAGCCATGGTGTTTTTTGTTTTGTTTTGTTTTATGGCTTGTCATATTCCCTGATCCTGCACACACGCCCTAAAAATAAGACATTGGAGGCTATAGCATTCAGTATATATCTCAAAAGCTTTTCACTTCCATTTGTTGAAATGTAAGTGTTTAGTCCTTAAGTTTATGAAGATAGCACCAAACCACATGTGTAACTGAGAGCTCTGAAGCCAGAGAAGAAAATGGCTACAGATTCACCCCCTGCAATTTTCATTCTACTGGCCAGCAGAATAAATTATGCAAATATCCTTCACATCCCTAATGACACTATTGCCTGAAAGCAGGCTCTGCAATTTAGAGCAGCAAAGACTTACGGATGAGAGCAGCTTTCTTGGTGACTCTGGAGACGATCCCCGTGTGGCCGAAGGAGGGCGAATCAAAGCAGCAAGCTAGACATCTGCCGAGCAGAGCTATTAAGAGCCCCAGGATCCGGGTCATTTTGCCCTAAGTGTCCAGAACGCTGGATTCACGCGAGCCGGAACTCCCCGGAGCAGTGCATTCCCGTCCCCACACAAAGGGCTCTGGCCATTTGTAGCTCCCATGGCCCCATTCCCTCTGGGCAGGATGTGACCCGCTTCCTAGCTTCTGCACAGCCCCTTTGGCTTCCCTGTGCATGCAGCCTCCTTAACCCTTTCAGGACCACCACCTGGCTGGGGCAAGTTTATCCCCCAGAGGCACCAGGAGCTAGCCAATTCCACATGGCGGAACGCCACGGAGCGGTGGTGCCAGCAGGGGGCAGCACCACGGGGCAGATGGCGAGGGCTGTTCCAGCAGCAGGGGCCCATTTGACAGCCATGCACGACCCAAGGGTCTCCTCCTGCCCGCCCGCCCGCCCCTCCAGCCTCTAGAACAGCTGCTCTGTCTCTGACATTGAGCACATCTGCCAGCCTTGCCTGCAAAAAATCAAGCCAGCCTCTGAACATGGGTGGTTTTGCATTTCTAACCTAACTGAACTAAACTGAAGCTCCATCACAACTAGAATTCGTTTCTCCTGCCCTAAAGCCCTCATCATCTGATGATCATTGCAAGGTGGGTGGGCGACCTGGCCCCCCAGTTCCAACCCTTGCTTTACTAGCACATACACAGGACCACTACAGGTGATAACTGGGTAAGTTGGGGTGGGGCAGTCTTGTATAGTGGTTAGGGTGTTGGACTGGAAAGAGGGAGATCAGAGTTCTAGTCCCCACTCGGCCACAAAGCTCATGGGGTGCCTTTGGGCCAATCACTGACTCTCAGCTTGACCTGCCTCACAGGGTTGTTGTGAAGATAAGGTTGAGAGGATGGTGACGGGGGGGGGGGGGGAGCAGTTACATAAGTAGCCCTGAGGTCCTGAAAGAGAAAAGGTGGGATAAAAATATAATAAATGAAATTGAGGCTCTAAAAGTTCCTCACAGCACTCCTGTTCTCAGGGGGAGCATCTTGAAAAGAATGGGACACTTTGAAACCCTGGAATTCTATGAGACACTTCAAACTTGTTTGGGGAAAAGTGGCAGAGTTGATTAAGGATGGGATTATCGTGTTATGTCTTCATGCTAAGTGTGCACTTGCATAAAATCATGTTTATACGCTCCTAATTTGCTTTTTCCCAGCAGCCGTCCCAGCAATGCAGGGCTGAAAAAGCCTGGATTGGCCCTGGAGGACTCACCAGGTGGCGGCTTCTAATAAAGAGACGCGTTGGAATTATTCACTTTTCAAGGATGCTCCCAGTTGCTTCATGGTGTGGTGAATCGCTCTAGATTTCCCTCCTGCCACTTCATAGCCATGCCTGGAGCTTGTGCAGGGGGGCAGCGGAAGCGATTCCTGCATTTACGGGCAAACGTTCCTTAATCGTGCGTGCGAGAACAAGCCTTCGGACTGCTGCAGCTTTGACAAGGCTGCCTGACCACCTCTGGCCCAGCCATGTGGAGATCCTAGCAAGTCAACGTAAAAATGGCCAAGGGGAAATCCCTAGAACTGCCCCTCCTGCCCTTCGGATGCCCACGCGCAGGGCCGCTGGCTCGGGAGAAAAATGGCGGGCCAAGAACAGTTCCAATCTTTTCCGGCCACCGCAGGTCAACTTGACCGGAACATTTGGATTGTCCCTCGCTGGCGTTTATACATATGCCTGACCTTCCTGTTGTTATTCTATTGTCTCTTGAGTGGAGTGTTTTTGTGTGTGGAGGGGGGGGAGACAAAACCAATCCAACGCAGTTCTGAAAAGACTTTTGAGTCAAATGACCTCCAATAACCTCCCAAGCCGTCTGCATGAATCTTGTCAGCCACTGTACCTGAAATTCAGTTCCAAAGTGCCTTTGTCGCCTGCCTCTTCCTCATTGGTCCACACCTAAAGGCTAGCCATTCTTTCTGGAGGACTCTGGGGTAGTTACATGCCAGGGCCGTGGAAACCACGATCCAGGGTTCAGACAGCATGACAAACCATGGTGGCATGGAGAAACCATAAAGAAATCATTGTTTCTTATTGTGGTTTCTGAAGACCAAACCTAGCCTGGTGAAATAGCACAGCTGGGTTCGGACAACATGATAGACCAACAAAGGTCAAAACAAAACAGAACAAAACACACAAAAACACCAGGGCTTCTTGCGTTGTCTACCCAGCCACTGGCTCCCTTGGCCCTACCTAGGAGTCCTGGGGCCTCCCCCTCTTACTTTCACTAGTCCTGTCTTCTCCAGCCTGGTACCCTCTGTGAGTTGGAGTTCCTGTCATTCTAAGCAGCAAGCCCATTGGTGAGCGATCCTAGGAGTTGTATGTCTAGCAGGTGGGGCATGGCTGCTCTGGAGGATTACCTGTGCCCAGACAGGTGCACGACTTCCTTCTCTTCCCATGGTGGGAGATCTCTTGGTCAATCTGAGGATTAGTTTCACCACACCAGTAAGGCTCCCCACCTCAGACGAGCAAAACAACCAAACAGGAAACTTTCAGGCATTTCATTTCCATGACATCCTGATAAGCAAGCTAACAAAAAGTGAACTCGGTAGAAGTGGCTACAGAACTGGACTCAAAGAGTGCTCATCAACGGCACCTCCTTACACTAGATGGAGGTAACAGGCGAGGGCTGCAGGGTTCAGTCCTGGGCCCAGGGCTCTGCAAGATCTTTATTCATGATCTAGATGAAGTCGTCCAGGGAATGATAATCAAATCTGCAGATGGAACAAAACTGGGCAGAATAGCCAGCACCATGGAAGACAGAAAGAAGATGGTCTAGATAAGCTGGAACATGGGACTGAAAGCAACAGAATGGAATTCAGCAGGGGCAAATGCCAAGTCCTCCATCGAGGAAAAGGAAACCAAAGGCATCGATACAAGGTGGGGGATGCTTGGCGCAACAGAGCTGACAAAGACCTCGGAGTTTTTGTGGACAACGGGCTAAATACAAGCCAACAATGTGGTGCAGTTGCAAAAAGGGCAAGTGCTATTTTGGGATGCATTCGTAGAAGCATCACTTCCACATCACGAGAAGTCAGACCTCACCTAGAATGCTGTGTCCAGTGCTGGGCACCACAGCTGAAGAAAGATCAGAGGAACTGGAGGAGGCAAAGGGATATTCAGGGACTGGAGGCAAAGCCGGTGAGGAAAGATCGAGAGGACTGGGCGTGCTCAGCTCAAGAAAAGGAAGGACAAGGCCTCTTTTTGCTCATCCAAGTGCAGCACGTGGAAGAACGCATTCAAGCTGCAACAAACCAGATTCTGGCTGGACATCAGGAAGCACTTCTTGACTGTTAGAAGAGTGTGGCAAGGGGGGCAATTGCCTGGGGGGGGCTGTCCCACACTAGAGGCATTCAAGAGGCAGCCGGACAGCCATCGCAGAGGGACGGGTTGCCTTGGCATCCTGCACCAACAGGGCTGGCCTGATGGACTTCTTGGCCCCCTCCAACTCTGCTCTTCGATGATATCTTCCAGCCCATGGGCAGAGTTCCCATAGGCGACACTTCAGGCCATGAGAGTGGAACCTTTTCCATGGGTCAACTTCCATTTTGGAGAAGTCCAGGGTAGAGTTCGCCTGAACGAGAAAGGGCAGTGCTGACAAATGCAAACTACTAAATGTCCAAACTTGCCACTACTAAAATAGCCTTAAGAGAATGGGGGACCTGCACCCGTGTTGCGAAGCCACCAGTTAATCTGCGATTGATGGGAAAGGGTGTAATCATTGGAGAACCCCATAGAGCCCCACAGGGCCCAGTGTCTGATGTCCTTAGCTGAGGTTCTGCTGCCCTCACCTACACGAGTAAACCCTGCTGGGGCCCCAGTGCAATGAAAGACGTGCCCGAGGCGAGAGCTCAGTGGGGTCTGAGGAAACATCTATTGGGTTGTGGGGCACATTCCACGGAAAACTGCTGTGCTGGAATGCCGATGGATCTTAGGCAGGGTTGTCTTCCTCAAAAGCACACACTGAAAATTTTCATGAAGGAAATGGTAGCATTTCATGTTATCCTTTTTACTTTGGGTTTGGGGAAATTCACAATAGGAATGGGGGGAAACATTCTTTGGCAAACAACAGGTGGATGTTGGTCACAACAATGGGCTCGAGTCACACTTTCCCACAGGCCTTCTACCTTTATCCAAGGGTGGAGCGTGCCGCTTTCTCACATGCCGTTTTCTCAAAGCTGGCTTTGCAGTGTTGATCTTTTGCTGGCATTCTTGCCGGCAGACATCCTGAGCTGGAAAAGCGAATGGCCTCAGATAACCCCCTTACAGGAACGGGTTACTGTTGGCGGTCGACTTTCCTGAAGCGGAAATCAGGGAATAGAATAAGTGTGGAGACTGCAGCACAGCTTACGTGGCTGAAAGATTACACACCGTCCTCTCGCCTTCGCTAAATAATGTCCCGGGACAAATTTATATTTTCCACTTTTGATTTGTTCATGTTATTCCAGAAGAAACAGTTTGCAAGGAATATTTGCCATTGTGCAGTAAAGTCTACAGTGGGAGAGTCTGGAATCTTTTCCCTGTCTATGCAGAAGTCACTCCCATTTGGGTCAAGGGGCTTCCTTCCAGCTCGATGGGAGGGGGATTGTAGGCTTAAGCACTGGATTAAACCGCTACTTTCAGCAGCAATGGAACTTTAAAACAACTCCGCTTTGGATAGAGCATTCCTTTGGTAATGTGAATGTCCCCCCACTGTCTCAGGATGATTAGCCTTGGTGTCCTTAACGGGGATGTCACTTGATTCACTTTCTGGTCACATTCCAGGCACGGCTTTTGCCTTGCTGCATGGAAAGGGCCGGAAGTGCTATTCTGAGAGGGATGCATTAATCTGATCACTGTCAGTTACAAGCGATACTTCATTGTTACCATGCATCTGCTTCCTGAGATAGTCTTCTCAAATGCGGTGCAAGCTACCTACAGCCAGACTGCATCTTGTGTTAGCTACAAGCGGGGGAAACGCAGAAATAAGAACAGGAGCAAAGCCCTCTGGATCAAACCCAAGGTCCATCCAGTTCAGCACCCATACACACGGCTGCCCACGGACCTGCAAGCAGGAGGGGTGCGAGGCCTCCACCTGCCCAGCTCCTCAGCAGTTGCTGTGTGCAGGTGTGCCACTTCTGCTAAAGGGCCAGCAAGGCTAGTAGCCACAGCTAGCCACCTCCTCCCCGTGGATCTGTCCGACCTCCCTTTAAAGCCACCCAGGCTGGCGGCCCCCACCACATCCTGTGGCAGCCAGGCAATTCCTGAGTGGGGGCCATCACTCCCACGCCTGGCAGAGGAAGGCATGGCAAGCTAGCCCCCACCCTGTCAGGGCCCCCGACATCATCACCCCATAAGTGCCCCGAGGGTCGCCCACTCCGCTCTCCTCAGGGATGCCCCCAGAGCAGGAGAACGGGGCAGGCCCCGTGGCCCTCTCGTCCACCTGAGCTTCGAACTCCGGGCACTGCAGAGCGCTGCTCTCGTGGCTGGCGTGGTTTCACAGGCTGTGGCCACATGGACACGTTTACTGACTGGTGCACATTGAAAACATCATCCTGGCACACATCCCGTTGGACTGCCTTCACTGCGACACCTGTAAAGTTTCATGCACCCAGGTTTTGCCAGCTGGGCACTCACAGGCTAGCCCAGGCCCTCCTGCCTGAATCCAAGCCTGCCCCACATGGCCTTGGTTGAAAAGCCCGTTGGGGCTGGAGTTTCTGGTTATGGAGCTGACAGATGCATGCATTACACTGGGATTCCCCACTCTTTGCAGAGGATGCTGGTTTCAGGAGTGCGGGGGAGGGAGGGAGGGAGGGGCTCGTTGCAATTATACCCTAGAGAACTCTTAAAACATGAAGCAAAACCAATTAGGGAGGCAAGAATTCACACTGAAGAGCACTCGATCTTTCTCTGTCCTTTCTCTCTTCCACTAAATCTACACCATCCTACACACACTCTAACACACCAGTTCTGATTTAAAACAGTGTTGAGCCTGGGGATCTTAGAGAAATCTGCACCAGTTTTACCTGGATTGCACCAGATTAAATTTCCATGACGCTGACCCACAGATTCCACGGTGGAGCAGCTTTTCCTGGGTCACTCCACATGCCTTTTTTGCAGACCAGTTTAAGTGTTTACCATAATTTTACACAGATGTATGCACAGAAAGAAGTACCAAAAATGTGTATTTCCCCCCATAGGCTGAAGCATAAAAATGCACATTTGGGTGGCGTTGGCATGAGAGTGGCCTCTACACACACGCCCTCACATGGTTGGATACATCCAGACTCTTGCCTTCCATCTTGCTCAGGGGAAGGTTCTCAACCTGCTGGCTAACTTACGCACTGTCCCCCACACCTGCGCTTCACTGCACCCCACCTGCGTCTCAGCTTCCACCTCCCTTGTTGGATCTCCCATAGGTATGGCGTGGTGCAGCAGCCATGCACCAGCCCCTCTTTTGCAACCTCAGTGAATCTCAGGTTTTGGAAGGCGACACCCTTCCCTGCCTGAGGAACTTAAGCGCCTTGCCCATGCTGTCTCCTCTGAGACTGCAGGAACCCGGGAGAACTACTAGACATTTGAAATGCAGCTGGCCCACTAAAGTCACAAGTTCTGCAGACCTGCAACAGAGTTTTATACTGTTCAGGGTTTTGAAGTGAAAACCGATAAATGAGAAGCTTTCTCTCTCCCCTACATACTCACTGCCCAATAACCCAATATGAGAACCCGGGGAATTGCCTCGTAAAGCTATTTGCATCATGAGCCAAGGTTCCTCCTTTACACAACTGCCGGCTTTGGTCCGTTTTCCTTGCAAATCACCCACAACAGAACTCTGGGCATGCAGAGTAGTTTGCTGAACCCAATCTAGTGTTTACTTCCAGAAACTCTCCTTATGAACATGCCTGGGCCCCAACCCTTCAAGAGAGGCTCTCTAGAGGTGAGCACACTTCTTTCCCACCCGCTGCTCCTTCAACTGGGCCTCTTGCCTTGCTACACCGTCCAGCTGTGGGGGGGGGGGGCACACGGATGTAGCTCATCTGCATCTGGGAGCTCCTCATCCCCAGCGGCCCCTCCCACTGCCTGTGCCTCCATGCCACCTCCAGGAACCGCCTGGTGCAGCAGTCTGACCTGGAGCTCCTCCCTCTGCATCCCGGAGCCTTGAGCAAGCCCATGCTCCCCAGTCGGAGACATTCCTCACTTCCCGATCCTGCGGCAGCTTCTTCGATGCAGACGGTAGCCCATGGGGACCCTTGCCCTAGCCCGCCATCCCGTTTGCTCCCAACCATCTGCCCTAGATCAGTGGTCGTGCCCTCTCTTGGCACACGGAAAGCCCCAGTTTCAGGCAGCGCTTGGTCAGGCTAGGAAAGTCCCCTGCTGAGCCACTGAGTGAAGTGAACCTTCGCAGGGGCTGATGGCTGGCACCACTTTCAGCTGAAAAGGCGTGTTCACACAAGACATAACTAACCCGCGAGATTGGGTGTAAACCACCTTCCGTCAAGCAATGCAAGGTATAAGTCACAGAGAGAGATGCAAAGCTCATTACCAACCTGGGTCATTTCCTGCATTTCCCCGGCAATGTGTAATTGGAAATTATCAAGGGGTGCCAGGCAGCGGCTGATAAGGCCAAGAGGGAGAAGGGTAAAGTTAACAGGAAAGCAAACACGGCATCACACGGCATTCTTTCTCTGTGCCGTGGGTGAAGAACCCCTGCCTCCCTCGCTGTTGACTTCGGCTCCCACGAACCAGTGGGGTGCGGTGGTCGGACTGGGCTTGGGACCCGGCACAACTTTACGAGGGTTTTTTGGAACTGGTGCCTGCTATTCCCAGACACGAAGTGTCCTTTTACTGCCAGCCTCTCCCAAATCAGCCCCTCCAGAAGAGTTGGACTGCACTTTCTGATATCCCACACTCTGCAGGAGTGATGGGATGCAGCTCATCCCATTCTGGGGAATGATGGTGGTTGTAGTCCAATATAACTGAAGTGTACTAGCTTTGGGAATAGGGTGGCGAGATTTCTGGAGTTTCAGCCACAAAATCTAGTGGTGAGATTTCTGGAGTTGGATCAGGGAGACCCAACAGGGTTCAAAAGCCTACAGCTCCCCTGGTGAGATTTTGATTCCGTTTAATCATCTTGGGGAGAAAATCAGCCTTGGCAGGCAGCAGGAGGCAAAGAGAAACAGACCAGAAATTCAACTGGATTCCAGGAAAACATGGATGTCTCTGGCATTCTCTTATAAGCAAGCCATTTGGCTTGCTCCCTTTTCACTTGGTGTGATTTTGGGGGGCTGGTTTGGAAAAGGAAGTGTGCATCACAGAGTGTATTTCCCCTGTTGACTGAAGCATGAAAACACATTTGTTTAAAAAGAGTATTTGAATGTGTGCATCTCTCTCTTTTCAAATGCAACTGCCCATTCCAGAAGGGGCTAACACTTTTTGAAAAACTGCTCGTTTGTGCCGAGGGCCCGCTGCAATGATTTGCAAACTGAATCATTGCTAAACCTGCCACCTTGTGGCTATTAAAGGACCAATAAGTTTTGCAGAACTATAAATGGATGTGCATTGAACTGAGTCATGCACAGATGCTGGCCAAATTCTTTTGTTAAACCGACCTGCCAGGACTGGTCTATGACTTTTGATGACAAAAGTTGAATAGCTAATGTCTCTTGCTTAATTTGACATACACCATACGGCCTGAGTTATTCTGACACCTGAGACAGAAAAATTCCACAAGCTCTGAGGGAAGAAGAGGATTTTAAGATACCCAAAATCAATTGCCTCATTCTGCCCACTGGTAGTGCCAATTCTGCAAATAGGTCAAGTTTTGGCAGAGAGAATGGATGATGAGAGATTCAGCCCCTCCGACCTCACAGAGATGGGAACAGAGATGCACTTGTGGAAAAGACCCACACATCCGCTTAATCCCAAGAACCAGAACTCGACTCAGGATTTGCCTGACCTCTTTCAGAGGGGCAAGTCTTCTGTTTGAAGGGCTGCTGCAAGGGGACTGCCTTGCTCTGGAAGGAACCTTTAACTGAAGGTGTCTTTAATTTTCAAATAATTCTAGTTTAAAAATAAACAACCCAAATTATTACCCAGCAACAGATAAGCACCTGGGAAGCAGACTGATAGGTAAGCACAGGGGTCACGTAGGCACCAAGAGATGAGATTGGAAGGTTGCTTACCTGTAACTGACATCCTTCAAGTGGTCATCCGACATCCACATATATAGCCTCCATGCCCGCGTAGACGAAGAACCGCCTCTATTTCTATTTAAATTTCTAAATGTGCAGCCCTATGAATAAGCATACAGCAAATGTCTACCTTTTTTCTGATGATGGGTCTGTTTTGACAATTAGTCAATGGCTGCTCTGCACAGCGTGTTGCAATCACACCATAGTATGCATCTGCTGTGTAGCAGCTCCACCCTGCACCTGTAAAAGGCCAAGCCGGGGGGGGGGGGGGCAGGGGGCTTCAGTGGTTCTTACAGGAGGAGAAAACTTATAGGCCAAGACCTTGGGCAGGGGCACAACTCCCATAATCCCTCACCATTGGCTAGGGCACATGGGAGTTAAGCAGGTTGTTTACCTGTAACTGATGTTCTTCGAGTGGCCATCTGTGCAGTCACACATATGGGTTCTGCGCCTGCGCAGTGCCTTTGGCCGGAAGATTGATAGCTAATGGCTTCCTTTTCGGCGGGGACTCTGCTCCCCCTCCCCCCTAGCAGTATATAAGGAGCAGAGTGACCGCCATTTTCCAGTCTTTGAAAGACCGACGTTCGGTTCCCCATGACATTGCATATTAGTACAAGAGGTTTAAATAAGTAGTGGTACAACATATAGATTAGCATTTCTAAGTAAAAATAATCGAACCACCCATGACACCAAGAGGGGTCGGAGGGTGGGTTGTGTGACTGCACAGATGGCCACTCGAAGAACATCAGTTACAGGTAAGCAACCTGCTTTTCTTTGTCGTGGCCTCTGTGCATCACACATATGGGTAGAATAACAAGCTTACCCCAACCGGAGGAGGGAGGTGTCATCATCGAAGGACAGACGAAAGCACAGCTCTGCCAAAAGAGCAATCTTGTCTGGCACGGACATCTAGCCTATAGTGCTTGGCAAAGGTGCATGGGGTAGCCCAAATGGCCGCCTTGCACACATCCTCTATCGGAACTCCCGATGCAAAGGCTGAAGAGGTAGCGACAGCTCTTGTGGAGTGACCTTTTGGAGTAGATGGTAAGTCCAACTTGGCTAGCTGATAAGCTAGGACAATTGTATTAACTATCCATTTCGAAAGGCGCTGAGAGGTAACTGGACAACCTTTGTCGTGCTCCGAATATTTCACAAAGAGTCTATTTGAATGTCGAAAGGATGCAGTCCTAGATCTAGAAAAGGCTAAGTAGCGACGGACGTCCAGCATATGTAGAGATCGTTCTATCAGATTCGAAGGGACCGGAAAAAAAGCTAGTAACACAATTTCCTGTTGCATAGGGAAAGAGGTAGCAACTTTTGGAAGGAAAGACAGATCCATACGAAGAACCACCTTTTCCTTATGAAAATTTAGAAAGGGGGGATCCACTCGAAGAGCGCACAGTTTGGAGGATCTGCGTGCTGAAGTCACTGCCACGAGGAAGGCTGTCTTCCAAGAAACGAGGCATAAATCAATTGTCGCCATGGGCTCAAACGGTGATCGAGTTAATGCTTGTAAAACCACCGAGAGACTCCAAGTAGGCATTAGGGTTTTAACAGTGGGATTCAGATTACTTAAGCCTCTCAAAAATCTTTTTATTAGAGGTTGAGCAAAAAAGGGAAAAACCATGTATAGCTCCTCTGTAGTGGGAGATAGCTGCCGCATAAACCTTTATAGATGAAGGTTTGAGTCCCGACTGATGTAATTCAAAAAGGAACTGAAGTATCTGTGAAACAGAGGCTGAGGAGGCTGGAAAAGAGTGTAGATTGGCGAAGTTAGAAAATCTTTTCCATTTTGCTGCGTACGACTTCCTGGTAGATGGTCGTAGTGCAGATTCAAGAATATACTGCAGGTCTGGGTGCAGGCTCTGCTGGGCATGCGTAGTCGGAATGGTAGGCGGTGTCGATGCCGATGCATCGCCCCGGGTCACCGTATCCACCATGCGGTCAGTTTCAACGATCGCAAATCTGGGTGACGAACTGTGCCTTTCTTCTGGGTGATTAGATACGGGAGAAGAGGGAGTTGAAGAAAATCCTCCCTGGAAACTTGAAGGAGAGTTGGGAACCATGGTTGTCATGGCCACCATGGAGTGATTAGTATTCCTGTAGCTCCTTCGTGAATGATCTTTGCGAGCACTCTCATAATGAGTGGGATCGGAGGGAAAGCATAAAAAATCACGCCTGTCCATGGAATCATGAAAGCCCAGGGAGTCCTGACCCACTCACGCTCTGGAGCAATAAGTCCTGCACACTCTGTTCTCCTGAGTGGCAAACAGGTCGATGTCTGGTCGACCCCATCGGTGAAATAACGTGTTTCGAACCCGATGGTCCAACTCCCATTCGTGGGAGCACAACATGTGTCTGCTCAGGAGATCGGCTTCCGTGTTGTCGGTGCCCGCAAGGTGAACTGCTAGAATAGTGATACCCCTCGGTATACACCAATCCCAAATCTGCATGGCGAGGCGGGCTAGCTTCCAGGATCAGGTTCCTCCTTGTTTGTTTAAATAAAAGACCGTTGCCACATTGTCGGAGGTCACTTGAACGATCTGGTGGAGGAGCAGATCCTTGAAAGCTTGCAGTGCTTTGAAGACGGCAAGGAGTTCCAGAAAATTGATATGATTCCTGCCATCCCGATGGCTCCATCTCCCTTGGGTACTTCGATTGGAGCAGATGGCCCCCCATCCCAGCAGCGACGCATCGGTACTGAGGGTTACTGTGGGGTACCGAGGTTGAAATGGAACACCAACGGTTAAGTTGGCTGGATCCATCCACCATAGCAGGGATTGGAGAACTGAAGCCGATAGTCGAATTCGTTTGGTAGGCGGGTCTATCTGTGGCTGAAACCGTTTGTTGAAAAACAGTTGAAAGGGATGTAGTCGTAGTTTGGCATGAGGGACCACAGCGATGGCGGCAGACATGTGCCCCAGAAGGCTTTGAATAGACTGGGCGGAAACGGTTCTTGCTTGCCGAATTCAAGTAATGCAATGAGCAATCGCATATCGTCTGTCTCGAGGAAGGAAGGCTCTTGCCGACGTCGAATCCAATCGAGCTCCGATAAAGTCGATCACCTGCGTAGGGACAAGGGAGGATTTCCTTCGATTAATGCAAAGTCCAAGGTCGTGCAACAGAGCACATGTAAGTTCAATAGCAGACGCAAGTCCAGCTTCCGTATCGGCAACAAGCAACCAATCGTCAAGGTACGGGTAGATTCGAATCCCGCACAGCCAAAGGTGTGCACACACAGGGGCCATACACATCGTGAAGACCCTTGGTGCCGTGGCCAATCCAAATGGTAGAACATTGAATTCATAAACTTCATGGCCCACCACAAAGCGTAGGAAACGCCTGTAACTTGAGTGTATTGAAATATGAAAATAAGCGTCTTTTAGATCCAATGAAGCGAACCAATCCCCTCTTCCCAGCAGCGGAAGAATACTTTGTAGCGTGGTCATCCGAAACTTCTTTGGTGTTATGAATTTATTAAGAGCTCTCAAGTCCAGTATTGGTCTAAGACCTCCATCACGTTTCGGAACCGTAAAGTATCTGGAATAGAATCCATGGAGTCCTTCTGATAACGAGAGGCGACGAATAGCTCCCTTAACGAGAAGTTGTTGAATCTCGTCTAACAGCACCAAAGAAGGCGTAGTATATCGAATAGGACTCGGAGATGGTACAACATCGAATTCAATTCCATATCCGTGCTGGATGATAGATAATACCCATCCATCAGATGTAATTGACTCCCAAATGGAGAGTCGACTCTTCAGTCGATCCCCAAATGAGAGGGGGGAGGGTAAAGATGGGAGGAGAGGAACGGCTCGCTCGTCACATCAACGCTGTCGCCTGTCCGTATCGAATCTACGGCGACCCTGTTGGAAGCGCTGGGGTGGTTGCTGCCTGCGGCGCTGGTGACATTGTTGCTGTTGTTGTTGCCGAAGCGGAAATTGCGAACGGTATTGCAGGCGTGACCATAACCACTTACGTCTAGGTAAAGCTTGTAACTCCATACGACGAGCGGTCATGCGAGACTCGTGGATCTTCAATTTACTGTCCGTTCTTGCGTGGAAGAGACCGGATCCGTCGAACGGCATTTCTTCAATTCTCCGCTTCATTTCGTCAGGGAAGTTGCAATTACGCAACCAGGCGTGTCTGCGGAGGGAAATGGCCCCGACCAGCGACCTCGAATCCAAGTCTACGTGGTGCCTTGCAGTAGAAAGCTGTTGTACGGCGACTTGCATAGCTTCCTTAACAAAAGTTTTTGCAAGTTCGCCTTGGTTTCCTGGCATAGTATCTATGATGGCATCTAGGCGTTGCATCAAAAAATATTGGTAACGCGCCAGGGTGGCCTCATAATTAGAGATCCTTAATCCCAGGCCCGATGCTGCGTAGACCCGACGGGCAAGGGAATCAACCTTTCTGCCCTCCTTATCTCTAGGCGAAGTATGTCCATGGGCCTCCCGACCCTGCGATGATTCCACCACAACTGAATTTGGTTTTGGGTGGCGGAGGAGAAACGGGATGTCTTCCTCTTGCACCCGGTACATAGACTCATATTTTCGTGAGGTCAGTTGCGGTTGAGCTGGAAGGTCCCATGGCTGGGTCATTGCCTGTCTTAAAGTTGTAATAAGCGGCAAGGCGATGGATGTGGATCGTTCGCCTCTAACAATGTCATAAAAGCGGTCCGTGCTCGGTCCGGCTGCTGGTGAGTTTCTATATCAAGCGATCTCACTAGTCTGGCCATGAGATCGTTAAATGACAGGTAGGGTTCATCAGGTGATCCTGGTCCCTGTGACACAACTGCCACATCCGGTGAGGTTGAATCAGCCTCAGACTCTTCGGATTCCATCCAGTAAGGGGGAGGCACACTGGAGGAAGATCCAGCCGATGACCCCGATCTGCCACGTTCTCTAGGTGGGGCGTTTGGGGCATCTCTGGGAGTCGAATGGCAACGCTCCCGGTGGGCTGGTGGCGAGGATCGTTCCCTGGTCGGGAAGCAGGCTGCAGAGTAGTACTCTTCTCGTCTCGGAACGGAGGAGTATCTAGATTGGTACCAATCGTCAGATCTCGCGTCCGAGGAACGGTTCCTACGGCTTCTTGGAAGGGA